AAAATATATATATATTTTTTTTACGTTACTAAAAGCACAATAAGATATTGTAAATATGTATTTCTAATCAAAATAAGGGTTGAGCGACGAGACGGCTGTCCTCGTTAAGGTGTCATTAGTGTTTTGAGTCCAAGTGTAGCCATCTATGTGTAAAACATCGAACAAGTAACAATTCACTGGGCTAGCACGGTACATACATACTGGGTTCCACGTCCGGGAATTCTGGAATATATACATATATAAGAAACATTGATTTTGTTATTATGCTATCACACATATTAATAATAGTATTACAGCGAAATTAATTGGCGGTATAACACAAGTTCATAGATATTCCAAAATCTTATATTGGGCCACATATATTATATGTTGTGTACACAATAAAACGTCTTTAATTAAAGTAAAGTTAACATACCATGGTGTAGCAACACTATTCCGCAGATTTTTAAAAGTTATTGTTACACATTGACAAACTTTTATATATTAGGGCCAATACCCATCACGCGACGATGTCGCTCTTTTTTTTTTTTTTTTTTTATGTTTTTCTTTTTCTTTTTTTCATTTTTTTCACACCGACAGCCGATTCAATTTCACACAAGCAAACGCTCGATCTTATCGTTGGGTATCCCAACCGACGTTATACACCAGTTGCACACAATTGTTCCGAGTGCTGACCGGAGACCGGCGTCATCATTTGTAATTCCCTCTATTTTAATGGGCAAGCAAGTAGTAAACCACCGTTCGGTTTACTTTTTTTACACACTTGCGCTCAATCATCATGGTCAAGTCGAATGATCCTCGCAAACTCGCTGCATGATTTAATTAAGGTTGGGGATAATGTTTTGTTAATCAACGGCACACACCAATACACCATCACACAAGCCATACATACAAACATACCTATATCTAGATAGATGATCGATAGTTAGTTTATGCAGACTCTACACCCTATCTATCTCAGGGTATACCTATAATATACATATATAATATTATCAATCAAAAAAAAAAATATCTACGAGTATATTTATAGATATACATACATACATACATACATATAAACATGTAGATAGTTCTACAGAAATCTAGATTAGCTATGAATACGCATAGCTAGGTATATGGTATCTATATATAGTGTTTCTACTTATAAGAGAGAGAGACTGATATTATGACTTCTATATATATATATATATATATTATATATATATAATATTTCATATACATACAATACATACATACAATACATACATATATGTATGTGTGTATGTTTTTTTTATGAGTGTATGTTATATATGTATAAGCCCTACCAAAAATAGATCTATAGATAGATATAACAATCGATATACTCATATATATATATACAAATAGATAGATAGCTATATAGATTTGCGATTTGATTGATTGCGCGGTCTCTATATATCTCCCTCTCTTCGGTCTATATATATATCCTCTCTCCTCCTCTCTCTCTCGCGCGCGTCGCGCAGCGCGCGCGCGCTAGCCAGCCGCGCATCCGCGAGCGCTTTTTTTCGTCTTCTTTCCTCTTTCTTTCTCCGCTTCTCTCATCTCTTGTCTTTCTTCCTTTCCATCCCTCCCTTCCACTCCCCTTCCGCTCTCCCCTCCCGCCCTCTCGCTCTCATCTCTTCTGGCTCTTTCTCGCTCTCTTGCTTTACGCTCGCCCTCTCATCGCTCTCTCGCGGGCGCGCGGCGCCCGCCCCCTCTTCTCCCTTGCTATGCTTGCTTGCTTGCTCCCTCGCCTCCTTCTCGTCTCGCTTGACTCGCCCCGCCTGCGTCTCTGCGTCTCACACATACCGCTCACCTCTCCGTTCTCTCTCTTTCGTTGCTCTACCTCCTCTCTCTCGCATACAAGCTCCTCTCCTCTCGTGCTCTCTCGTCTCGCTCGACTCTCGGTGGTTGTACTCCCCTGGAGTGTTTATCTTCCGTCCGCCTTGTGTTTACTCACATCCATTTAGTAGTTTTTGTTCCGTTCTGTGTGGTGGACCGTCCTCTATCTCCTCCGTCTTCACTTTCTGGGCTTGGGCCGCTGCCATGCGTAGTTCTTCCACATTCGTTTTGTTTGTCTCATAATTGCATAAAATGGTATGTTTCCTATATTGTTGGGTCTTTATACCATAGTATCAACACGGTAATGTTTTCAATCCTTCATATATAGGTATAGTCATATATTTTTCTGGTGTATATATAGAGGAAGGATATAGTTTTGTATTTTTACTTCTACTTTTTGTTTTTGGTTTTTTTCCATGAATCTACCTACAACAACATCCCTACCTACATGACATACATCACCCTTTACACTATTCGCCTTCCTCTCCTCTATCTCTCTCTTGAGTGTGCTATACATATAGCCTCCTCTTTATCGTCTCGTCGTCCCGTCCCAATCACATGCGAGCAGAAAATACAAGACATTCGACGCTGGCCGCGCCGCGTCATGCCGGTGTGGCGGGTGCCGCTGACCTCCGGCCAAGTAGAAGGAGGGGAGAGATAGAGAGAGAGAAGAGAGAAACTAACGAGAGATAAGATAGACAGAGATAAGAGATAGATATATATAAATATATTGATATTTCTAAATCATCATATGTTTGTATAGCTTGATATATAGTAGGCATCTAATACAACTCAATACCTACTACCTACATATATATCGCATATCGTCTATCTCCTTCCTCGTCGCATGCATTTAAGTATTATCTTTGGTTTGTATTGTGTTTCTCGGTCTGGATCTACATCGATAAAGACCTCTGCTCTCTATCGCTGCAGAAAGTTTTCTGCTCCCCGATACACTCGGGCTGCGAGGATGCATCTCTGTGCTCTCGCAGTTTATCCTCGCCTCGGAACCAACTTATCGATCGGCTACTGTCTCTTGATTCCGTACGACTAATAATCTCATTTTCTCTCTCTCATAGGGGTTGCTATCGCGGATCTTTCGTTGCGTTCTCTGCTCTATGTCTCGGTCTCTTCAATCTCGTCTCGTTCGTAGGCCGTCTCGTAGCAACTGGGGGGGGGGTCGTGGAGAGTGCGGTAACTGAGGTTTCTCGGGGCATTTTGTGTGAAGCCGACTCTCTGTTTATATAGAATAATGCATACTCTAATATGTAACTAAAGGTAACATATAGTTTGCTGTATAATATATTGAGAGAGAGATAGATTACCTACATTACATACATATAATATTGAGCGATTGATACTGACATATATATCTATTATTTATATATATAATTGATAGATAGATTTACTATACATTCATACACGAAACTACATACATGCATAATAATACATAGACATGTTATATACAAATCATAAACCACATACATACATACACATACATACAAAGACAACACACTACGCACATACAAATTATAGTATTCGACATAATCCACATTATTTGAGGGAATCATGTTGGTTTGGTAACACTAATTATGTGTGGTGTAAAATTTTATGTATGTATTGTGATTCATGATTGATTTGTTGGTTCTAACTAAGTATAGTCATTAGCCTTTGTTATTGGTTGTATATGGCATGGCAGTCAGTCATCCATGGCCATGGATTTGGTTGTCCAATTTTTCTCTTTTATCAGTCCTTTGTGGCTCCTAAAGACCGATTTTTGAGATGATGTAAACGCAAAGGTATTTACTTCTCTCAGTCGTCTTGGGGAGGAGGCACAGCTGGATGTGGGGCCATACACCAACCCTGGGCGATGGTCACGCCAGAGCAGGAGCTTGTTGAGCTTCTTCGTCGTAACGGAGGGCCCAGCTGCAGTGAACGGGGATGATACGGGTCTTCTTGTTGTCACGGGCAGCAAGACCTTGCCAACTCTAGTACTTCAGCGCCGGTATTCCATGAACGGCAGCGAGGTACACCGGTGCTCCAGCACCCACTCTCTCTCTCGGCATAGTTTGGCCTTACGCAGAAGGCGGGTGAATCCTACTACTGGGAACTGGAAGGCCGGGCCCTGCTTGAGCGGGGACTATTGACTTGCCCTTTATTACCTTACCAACCCTTACCACGACAACATGATGATGATGGTTTGATATGACTTGCTCAAAAGATTCACAAATCCGATACCCACCCCAGGCGAAAAGCTTGGCTTTTAGAGGTGCCCTTCCCTCCTGATGAACCGGTCCGGTTGACTATGTGGCAACGCGGGTTTCCCAGCTTGAGCCAATAGCATGGGGCTATCGTCCTGTTTCCCAAGCCGAGTCCTGGCGCTAGTGACGCACTATAAAAGGAAATTTCTTGGCGGTTTTTCGTTAGCCATACCTTTTCAACTGTGTCAATCATGGCCACCCAAGACTTCTGGAAAGCCTGCCAGAAGCGCGTGTAAAGAGCCCAAAAGTCTATTCATCAAGGGAGATACGAAGAAGAAGCGCAGGAGAAGGAGACCTACAAGCATCTACATCTACAAGTTGTTGAAGCAGGTCCAACCACCCGACACCGTATCTCCTCCAAGGCCTTCCAATCATGAACTCGTTCGTGAATGACATTTTTGACGCATTTCACTGCGGCTTCCCGCCTTGGCACACTACAACAGCGTTCCACCATCACCATCCGGGAGATGCCGACCGCCGTCAGGCTGCCTGCTGGCCCGGAGAAATTGGCCAAGCAACCTGTGAGCTGAGGTAAAACCAAGGCCGTCCACCATTACACTTCATCAAAGTAAATTACTAGGTGCTTGTGTACGGTTTTAACCTGCCTCATACCCAAACAAACCATCGGCCGCCTTTAGGATCCACAAAGAGTCTTCAAAGTGGGATAAAAAATGACCTTACGAAGTGTGATTAACAACAACTACTACTACTACTATTTGGACACCTGTATACATGCATTTATCAATCATCATCATCATCAAGATCAGGATTACGTTGAATTGTGGGTTTGGGTTGGATATGTTTGTTTGTCATCCATTCATTATCGTTTAGTCTAAACAAACAAACAATTATGTTTCAGTCTATTAGCAACTAATTTATTGTTTGTGTGTATATATTTAGTTATGTTTCTGTAATCGAAAACTGTGATGGAAGTAAGAGTAAAGTAAAGTGAACACACCAAATTCTTGTAAACACATATAGAGAGCGGTGAAGGAGGAGGGAGGGTGGGGGGCGGTGAAAGTATAACTATATATATGGTCATATATTATATAATATATAGATAAATATATAGATTATATATATGTTATTTAATTTATACTCACACACATATGCAAAAATATATATAGTGTAAATATATATATAAGATATAACAATATCATAGTATATATTATTTTTTTTAATATTTTACCAATTTATTGTAAATGCTATACACAACATATATTATTACCATATATATATTTTAAAATGAAATACTATATTCTCATATATTTATATATACATTGTCTATATATATATATATATATATATATATATATATATATTTGTAATTAAAAAAATAATAACATATTAAAATATATATTACTCTCTCTCTCTCTCTCGGTCCTTCTCTCAGCTCTCTCTCTATATTGTGGATCTATATATATATTATATATATATATCCCACAATATATTGTGTTAAATGTATATACAGTATATATTGGACATATATATATTATATATTATTGTCAATATATAACTGTATATACATTAACACATATCTTGTGGAATATAATATATATATAATATATATATAGTCCACATATAGAGAGAGAGAGAGAGAGAGAGAGAGCGAGATATAAGATATATTTTAATATAGTTATATATTTTTTATTACAAATATTATATATAATATAGAATATATAATATAGTAGACAATGTATATAAAATATATAGAATATAGTATTTTCATTTTTAAATATATATACTTGTTATAATATAGTTTGTGTATCTATTTTACAATATCTTGGTATAATATAAAAAATATATAATACTATTTATTTGTATATATTTATATCTATTATTTACACTATATATATGTTTTGCATATTTTGTGTGATTGTATCCATATACTAAATATATATAATATAATATATATATATCTATATATATATATATGAAACAATATATATAGTTTTATCTTTCACTCTCCGCACAATCCCCCACCCTCCCTCCTCCTTCCCTCTCTCTATATTGTTTACAAGAATTGTGTGTGTTCCTTTACTTTACTTTACTTTCCATACAAGTTTTTCGATACGACATAATACATACATACTATACAACGACCAATCAATTAGTGCTAATAGACTGTAACATTAACCTTGTTTGTTTGTTTAGACTAAACGATAAATGAATGGATACAAACAAACATATCAAACCCTAACCCAACTCAAGTAATCCCTTATTCTTGATGATGATGATGATATTGCATTGTATAGCAGGTGTCCAATGTAGTAGTAGTAAGTTGTTGTTAATCCACACTTTAAGGTCATTTTTATCCACTTGAAGACTATTTGGTGGCTCCTAAGGAGCCGATGTTTGTTTGGTATAGGCCAGGTAAACCGTACACAATCACCATATTAATTTTACTTTGATGAATTGTACTTGGTGGACGGCCTTGGTACCTTCGCTCACAGCGTGCTTGGCCAATTCTCCGGGCAGCAGAAGCCTGACGGCGGTCTGGATCTCCCGGCTGGTGATGGTGGAACGCTTTGTTGTAGTGTGCAAGGCGGGAAGCCTCAGCTGCAATGCGCTCAAAAATGTCATTCACGAAAGAGTTCATGATTGACATGGCCTTGGAGGAGATACCGGTGTCAGGGTGGACCTGCTTCAAGCACCTTGTAGATGTAGATGCTGTAGCTCTCCTTCCCTCTGCGCTTCTTCTTCTTATCTCCCTTGGAGATAGACTTTTGGGCCTTACCGGCCTTTCTGGCAGCCTTTCCAGAAGTCTTGGGTGGCATGATTGACACAGTTGCAACAGGTATTGCTAACGAAAAACCCGCAACGAAATTTCCTTTTATAGTGCGTCACTAGCGCCAGACTCGGCTTGGGAACAGACGACGTAGCCCATGCTATTGGCTCAAGCTGAGGAAACCCGCGTTGCCCACATAGTCCAACCGGACCGGTTCATCCAGGAGGCACCTATAAAAGCCACTGCTTTTTCGCTGGGGTAATGCGTGATTTTTGAATCTTTTTGAGCCAAAGTCATATCAAACCATCATCACTCCATGAATTGGTGTGGTTAAGGGTGGTACGGTAAAGGCAATTCAATTCCCGCTCAAGCAGGCCGGCCTTCAGTTCCCCGTAGGGGGGTAGGAATTACCGCCTTCTGCGTAAGGTGCAACTATGCCGAGACGTTGGTGGCTGGAGCACCTTTGTACTCGCTCCGTCTAGTGGAATGCCATGGCTTCTGAAGTACTAGAGTTGGCAGGTAATAGCCTGCCCGTGACAACAAGAAGACCCGTATCATCCCCCGTCACTTGCAGCTGGCCATCCGTAACGACGAAGAGCTCAAGCAAGCTCCTGTCTGGCGTGACCATCGCCCAGGGTGGTGTCCTGCCCAACATCCAGGCTGTGCTCCTCACCCAAGAAGACTGAGAAGAAGTAAATACTTTGCGTATTACCTCATCTCAACAACATCGCTCCTTTAGGAGCCACAAAGACTGATAAAAGAGAAAAATTTGACAACCAAAATCATGTCCATGGATGACTGACTGCAATGTCCATATAAACCAATAACAAAGGTAATGACGTATACTAGTAGAACCAACAAATCATCAATGAATCACTCAATACCTAAATAAATATTTTACAACCCACACATAAATTAGTGTACCAAACCAACATGTTCACTCCCCCAATAGTGGATTAATGTCATATATACTTTGTATGTGCGTATGTTTTTGGTCTTTGTATGTTGTGTAAATTTATGTATTTGAGTTATGTTTATATGTCTCATCATCTATGTATATATGTATGTAATGTACTTGTGTATGAAGGTATATAAATCTATCTATCAATAATATATAATATAATATATTCTATGTCATAGTATCAATCGGATCAATATATATGTATGTAGTTATGTATATCTATCTCTCCTAAATATATATACAGCAAACTATATGTACCTATCCTACATATATCTATCTCTCCCATTTTAATATATATCGGTATCCTCTCTCTCTAATTTATCTTTGTTCTATCTATCCGATCTATCTATCTATCTATCCCTATATATCCTCTCTGCATCTCTCTCTGCTCTATGTATCTATCTTACTCTGTCTATGTACCTCTTAATCTATCTCTCTATCTGTGTCACAATATCCCAATGGCGCCGGGGATAATACCAAAAAATGGGGAAAATGCTGTGCTCTTTGCGATTTTCTTTTTTTAAATGTCTGTCCATCGATGGCTCTGCTAGTCCGGAATTGGAAATGGCGGAATAACTGTTGTTTAATATGTTGATGATATCGATGGGTTTTTTTTTTTTTATCATCTTAAAATATATATATCGATTTTTTTTTGTACTTACTAAAAGCCCAGAAGATTATGTAATTATTCGTCAATCACAAACATCGGTGAGTCGGACGAGACAGGCTGTTCCTCTTTGAGGGTCTTAGTGTTTTTAGTCCAAGTGTAGCCATCTATGTGTAAACCAATCGAACAATAACTCACAGTGGGCATAGCACTATATACAACATGTGTTACCCGTCGGAAATTCTGGAATATCTACATATAAGAACCATTGATTTTTTGTTATATTAGGCTATCCACATAATGATAATATATTACAGCGACATTAATATGCTGTATAACACAAGTTCTAGATACGCAAATCGTATATTGCACATATTTAGTGTGTACCCATAAAGAAACCCCGACGTCTTTAATTAAAGTAAAGTTACCTACCATGTGTGCACACATATCCGCAGATGTTCTTAAAGTTATTGTGACACATTTAAACTTTTATATATGTGGGCCAATACCCATTCACGCGACGATCTCGCTCTTTTTTTTTTTGGTTTATGTTTTTTCTTTTTCTTTTTTTTCAACCGACAGCGATTTCAATTTCAAACAACGCGCGATCGTATCGTTTTGTAATACCAACGCGACGGTATACCCATTGCACATTGTTCCGAGTGCTGAACGGATGACGCGTCATTGTATTCCTCTATTTATAATGGGCAATCAAGTAGTAAACCACCGTTCGTTTACGTTTTCAACACCTTGCGCTCAGTCATCATGGTCAGTCGATGATCCTCGCACGCTCTGCAGGCTTAATAGGTTTGGTGATAAATTGTTTTTGTAATCAACGGTGCACACCACATACACACATACACACATACATCCAAACATACATAGATATAGATAGATAGATATAATAAATAGTTATGGTCATACATCTAGCACATCTACTAATCTAGTGTATACCTATAAATATCAATATAATTAATATCAATCTATCT